CTCCAACAAGGCGTGTAGGACAGAGTGAATACACATGCTATACAGAGATGCTGTATGAGAAACCAATGTGAGTTTGGAACATTGAACAATGTACATCTATTCTAGTAGACCTCAACAATGGAATTATGATCAGTAGATATGGCGATGACATGGGACCTTTAATACCCGATTCCCAATCCTACATGTCGAAGCATAAGAGTATAGTCAAATAATTATAATAACTAGTCAAATGAATGAGACCCCGACAATAAGCGTTAGAAAATGGATGAATGGATTAACCAAAGGTTTGTCAACCCACCATTAGGGGTGGATCTTCCTGCAGGAGGTGCCTGGACTTCAGGTGGTGTAGCACCTGCAGCGGTGTAGCGGTAGCTCCCAGCCAGATCCTCTTTACTCTGGCACTCTGTGTTGTAGGACAGGCTGGAGGAATCCCCCTGAGCGTCCCCGATGAAGAAGGAGCTTCCCTGGGCAGTGAAGAAGGCGGGGTCTTCTGTGGTGGTGGTGGCGGCCTCCAAGATTGGACTGCTGCTAATACTGCCGTCTGTGTAATCCTCCTGTGGAGACAGAGAGAAGAGTTGGTGGGACATACATATCAAATGGACAAAGAGGAAGTGTTTTACTGTTTTCTGAAAGACCTTATTGATATTCCGAGTGCTGTGGATCACATGGAGAAGATTGTCGTCACTCTCCGGCCTGGATGAGTGCTTGTTTGGGGTACTGCTGTAGGGAGTGGACTGGCCATCCACATGGACAACGTGATCGCTACCACATTCTGGACAAATATTAATGTCTCCTGAGAAAACAAAGAGGAAAAAAAAGGTTATTGGCGGCGGAGGCAACCAGACCCGAAAAAACTAGATCTGCACCATTTGTCAAAATTGCAATGTCTAAGCGGAATATTGGTTAAGGATGAATATAATAAAATATAATTCTGGACGAGCCTACAAACTGTATTGTACAGATTGAAATCCTAGTTTCATACAAATCCTAAAATTAAAACGAGATATTATTAATTCAATAATTATAACAGTGATCTAATATACTGTATTAATCTGAAATATGCAATTTGGCATTAAAGTACATCTGGTGCAAATCTTACCATTTCAATGCAGGACATTTATTCATGAGTATTGTACACTGTGGTGTTAGTACTTTTACTTATATATGTATGAGTACTTTCTCCACTGACTGCGCGTTAACCTAACCAGAAATATGAGTGTTTCATTTTTAAATCATCTGCGTCCGTCCCTGCTGAAGAACAGGGGAACAGTTGAACGATTCTGACAACCAAACGACCCGTATGCACGAATATGGGCAGGAAACATGCTTCATTCCTAACAAGTTTCATATGAGGTGGACTTTTTTTCTTTTTTCGTATCTGCAGGGCATGTATGTCTGTTACCCACAAGCAAACAAATGTCTTAGTTTAGACACGTGCGAATGACTAAAGGTATTTACAGCCTGAAACACTAACACAAACAAAGGCGCGCTGATCCATGAAATCCCCCAGAACGTCTGCGGGACAAAGCCCGTGTAGCGTGTGCGTGCCGGAGCAGGTCTTAATGTTAGGTTTGGTCCAAATGCTGGAGCGAAGGGGGTCATCTACCCGCTGCTAACTATAGAGAAGCAACACAATGAAAGAGGGGAGATAACTCCTGAGATGCTGAACTCGTCTCGGAGTTTGTTTTGGGAAGATATGCAGCCTTCCAATGGGAACCTGATAGTCGAGTAGGAGTGCTTTGACGTCAACTCACGATAAACATTAGGTTTTTTTGCATAAATTGTTCCAGGTGTACATGTGCGACCTTGTGTTTGCCACTTTTCTGTCCAATTGATCAACAACAAAGGCCGCTGACGGTGAGGAATGAAAGCACAGATTTGAGTGGAAAATTAAAAATGAATGTAACGTTTTGATTTTTGGCCGGTTTAGAGTTTGTCAGGCTGAAGCATGACTCAATATGCGTGTCTCAGTGTGAGGGATGAATTGGAAAAAAAGGTCTTTCAGAGCTGAGGCTGTGGCATGTGTGTGGGATTGTTTGACATCTATGGATGACTGATTCAGATATAAACCCAAGCCAAACATCACATTGCTTGGGCCCGTGTTTCACCTACAGTTGTGCGCAAATGGAATTTGTATTGTCATTTGTTTTTACAGATTTTCTCAAAGTTCCTTTAAACATTTGGTTAGTGATAATAACAGTCCAAAAAATGATGATTGTTTGAACCCTTTTTTCTCCCTGCTCCACATATTTACTTATTCATATCCTGTCATGTTGTTGCTTTGTTCCAGTTTGCATGTTTACTTTGTACACATTTTCATTATTAGGGTGGCTTTTACACCTTGCCAGGCTCTACAGATGTACATTGGATGAGGTATGACAGTTTTTTGGCGAATGAATTGGCACTGACCCAGCAAAGATTCTCAACTTTCTATCATTTTAAATAAACGCAACAACACATATATTTCAAAGGGAGATACAGATGTGTGTATGTACTAAATATGTGTACCTTTAAGTAGATACAAAGGCTTTGGTTTGTGGAACTCATGACCACGTTTTCCTTGATGTTAAAGAACTTGCCATCTTTTTATTTTGGTTAAATGACTCCCCCTTTCATCACTCTCACCGTTGCTGTCGTCATGGAACTGCGTCACCTCCTCCCCGCCCTCTTCCTCCGCACTGTCAGGTACCATGGCGGCCCCTCTCCTCCTCGCCCTCCCCCCCGCCAGCTCATCTCGTCCTTCTCTCTTGAGCGTGAACTCTGCCCTGCAGCGGAGGCACTGCAGGCGGACGCAGCTGGGAAGGAGCTCCCGCTGCTGGTTCTCCTCGGCAACATGGGTCAGCAGGTCCGTCAAGGCCTGGTCGGCGAAAAAGTTCGTTTTTTTTAGAACAGTTTGTTGACAGTGAACATTAGAAAAAAAGTTCATTTATTACCAAGACAACTGAGAAACCAATCCAACATTCACTAGCGTTTGTTCGGCTGGCACCAGCTCGTGTAAAATCCCAGCTGAATGATATTTGGTTGAGAAAAAAGCTCTCTCTGGCAAGTAGACATAAACACAAACAATGTTCTTGTTAAAAGCTTAGGAACTGTAGGAGCTACATGAAGCTTGTGAAAGGTTTCAAACCAGTAGGACTAAGGGCTGATTTGAGGAAAAAAACAATCGCTGTAGGTTGGCCACCATCAGCGATTGTTTGGGTGTTGGTTGTGGTTTTATACTTTTCATTAAGCAATGTGTTTGTTTACAAAGCATAAATCATGAGTCACAACATACTGGAATCTGCTCTTTGAATTATATCCGACGCTGATTTAATGTTGGACAATAAAGATCAGAAAGTCGTAAACAGGGTGGTTAACCTGGAACAGAGTGTGCTGCTGGATGCTGACAGAACATTCACAAACAAAAGGTAAGAGGGTTTGAGTAGAGGACAGCCTGTAGACAGGACCGGGCTCGTCCTATACTGTAGGTGTGTGTTGTTCTAGGTACTGTGTGTGTTCTCTGACTCACTGTATGTGGGTGGGTGGGATGTTAATCTGCCAGTTTCGTTTTTTTCCACAGTAGGGTGAACTTTTAATCTTGAAAGATAAAAACGGTTCTTAAAAGGAATCAAATGGAAAGGACCCAAGTGTGTGTGTGTGTGTGTGTGTGTGTGCGTGCGTGCGTGCGTGCGTGCGTGTGTGTGTGAATTTGAGTTTCTGTGTGTTTTAACCTGCAGTGCCTGCTGTGGATCATCATCAAGCACGACGTAGCATCTCCTCTTTTTGTCTCTGCTGATGTAGTCGAAATGAAGCTCCACAGCTGGAAGCATCTCTTCGGTCTCCTGAGAGACACAGAAAATCAATACGTTTGAATATGAATCTCAATACTGAAGAGGAAACAAATTGGACTTTCCTTCATTCAAATAGATTTAAATAGAAGTTACAATCCCCCTCAACCACATAAGAACTAATAAACAGTAACTCATAGTAATGCAGAGCGGCGTTTCTTCAAGACGTGTGGATGTTTCCACTCTGCATAGACCTTTAACAGAGGGTTGATCAATGAACCATTGCACCCCCACACCCCTGCCCTCACCCCTCGGGTCCAGGCAGCCTCTGTAGTCTCCACCCGGGCCAGGCTGTTGAGCTCCAGGCGGCACCTCTCCCGGCCGCGCTGCATGTCCACCTCCAGCACCAGGCCCTGTTTGATGCACAGGAACACCTCCCTCCTGTTCTTCCCCCTCTCCCCCTGTCCTTCTCCGTCTCCTTCCTCCTTGTCTGATAAGACACCCACAAGTAGAGGGTGACAGAGGTCCACTGAAACACAAAAAAGGAAAGGAAGTCAGAAGAGTTTTTGCTGATTTAGTCTTTGTATTTTCATCTATGGAGTACCCTACCTCCCAGATCTTCCTCCTCTTCTTCTTCTTCTTCCTTGGTGTCTGCTCTCTCCCTGCTGACCGATTTTTGGGAGCCTGGACTGGGCTCAGGTGAACCCCCCACTCCCTGGCTCTCCATAGGGTCATCCACCGTGCTCTCCTCTAAGGTGCCATGCCATTGGAGCGTGGATTCTGTTTCAAAGTCTGCATCAATAGACGTGTCCAATCTAGGCTCGGATGAGAGCAGCGGAGGGGGGAGGACTTCTGGGACTTCCATGGACTGTACACTAGTAGATGGACATGTGGTGGTGTTAAGGCCGTTGGGGAGGGGTTGAGGGGGTGGAGGGGGTGGGTTGCCGTTGACGACAGCGGTGGTAACAGTAGAGGGTTGTGCTTCATCTAGATGGTGTTGGTACCTCAGCCAATCCTCCCCCAGCTGATCTCTGAAGCTGGACATGCGCTCGATCTCCTGCTGGTGAGGAAGAACAATGCCTAACGCAGGAAGAACATATTAAACACACAATATTAATATTTGTATCATGTGTTCGGATAGAGTAGTTAAACCTGCTAAAGAATAAAGAATAAAGCAGTTTCAGGGTTTAAATCTGTGTCCCTCCATTAGACACAGAACAGAGTGGCTGCTAACTAACCGCTAACGTTAGTTTAGCTTGTTTCTCTAAATAACTTTAGACGTCCAATGATCCTTCATCTGGTTTAAAATTGTAGTAGACACCAGATAATAAAAAGTGTGTCATAACAAAGTGTTGTTTTTCTGATTAAGAAGTCATATGTTAACAGCATCCTTTGAAAGACATGCTATAATACCCACTCTGTGAGGAGGAACGCAGCTTGGGCTGGTAGTCTGTGTCGCTGGGCTCTGATATGCTAGCCCTTCGCACTTTCACTTTACTCTGAAACACAGAATGATTTGGAAAATGTGTCATTTAGTAACGAAGAAGAGGTCATCATTATACAGGAAATATTTGACATTATAAAAAAGCACTACATAACACACAGCTCTCTTACTCTGGATTTCCTCTTCCGAAGGCGCGTGACTCCCACTTCTGCGACTGACATGCTGTCACTCAGCTCCCCGGCACCACTGGACACATCCTGGTTACTCCGTTCTGTCGGCATGGCAACGGGAGGTAAAGTCTGTACAGGGACAATCAGCTGGCCTTGTTTGGGCAGAACCTGCAGAAGAAAGTTCTTTGACTTTTAATTCAGAAAAACTAATTTCTAAAATGCAACCTTGTACAGTTTACCCATTACATAAACAAACGTTTACCACCCCGGGATGATTATATGAGATTGAAACTTACCGATAACTCAGATGACGACAGCGTGGTACCGTTGAGTTTGAGCTGGAAGAAAAACAAAACATGTAGAAATTGTTTTCAGTGGTACAGACTCAGAGGCAGCTGATTTGGAGCTCTTTATAAATGTATAGAGGGTGTGCTTTTAATAGATCAATACCTCCAGTATAACTCCTCTGAGCCAACACCTGCTGGATATATTTTCAGATCACAGCCTACTTTGGAAATGTACCAGCTTACCCAAAACGTAAAGCAACACAGTGTAACTACTCAACTCTACATTTGTTTCCCCTATGGGCTGTGATTGATGGAGTTTCCTGATGGACAGAAAGCTTTGTTTGTTGTTAAACTACTGCTAACCGCTAACTGTTGCTTACAGTAGCTCCAAGAAGTGTTGTGTTGTTGGACCTGCTAGATGTTTAGCTGATATGCTTGTCTTCAACTGCTGTTTTGAATAAATACCAACAAACTACTGTATGTGCAATATGTGCAATATATAAATGCCATTAATAACTGTAATATATACCTGGCTGCTAAATCCTAAGAACTGTTACAGGATGTCTATTTTTTTTTAATTAAGTAACTTTTTATTTTTAATTATATCATAATTTTTTTTTTTAAATGCCCGCCACATATTTAACATAATGTAACATTAAGCTGTCTGTGGCTCTTTGTCCTGCTGTAACTACGCACATTTCCCCTCCGTGGGACTAACAAAGGTATTCTGATTCTGAATATACTACATCCTGTGCTGATGCCTCCAAACCAACTTTTACGATCATTATTTGATATTCAAAATGTGTAAACGTCTATCTAGAATAATGTCTTACTCTCATGTTCGCAGCCTTAGGGGAGAGATGTCTGACGGTGCCGGTGCGGTGTGTCTTCTGGAAGAACAGCGGGTTGCCCTCCAGGTGAAGCTGGAAGAAGACATTACATTTTACAGTGTCTGCTTTACCACGCTACGTCAAGTTGATATTTTTAAGGGAAATACATGTGTCAGGGTGCATGTGTTTCCTTACTGTGTTGAGGCAGTGCAGCAGAGAGAGAGGGGCCAGCTGGGAGTGCTCCAACAGGAGGTTGTAGGCTAAGTCTAAGTGCTGGAGTGAAGACAACTGCTCCACACCTGTTTAACCACACAGGAAAAGACGGATCACATCAAGAACACGCAGTATACACAACACAAAAGCGTCGACATAAAAGGAAACCTGCAGCTCAAATGCTCATGCTGTTCTGCTTTCTAATCCAAGCAGACATAATAAACAGGCAGGTGTAAGGTGATCTAATGTTTGACTGAGTGCTGATAAACAATATCAAAGAAAAAACAGATGGATTAGGAAAACAGCTGGCTGTGTGGCAGCTTCCCGCTTTTCCAGTTTTCCTCTTCCGGTTGCTTTCTCTCTTTGTGATTCCATCCCTGATCTGACTCAGGAGTGCTTTAAAGAACAACATGAGTAACACCCTGACTATGTATGAGTTGATGTTACCGTTAATAGTCTCCAGCTCATTGTTCCTGAGGATGAGTGTGACGAGTTTGGCCCTGGCACTCTGGCCCAGCGTTGGCGCCCTCTGCAGGCAGTTGTAGCCCAGGTTCAAGTGTTCCAGTTCACTCAAGGGCTGTAAAAAGGAAATAAGGAAATAAGACAGCTGCAAAACAAGGTGTGGTCACAAGCATAATTCGAATTTTTTATAAATAACCTAACCTTAAGAAATTCAGCAACCTCCTGAATCTTGTTATGGCTTAAATCTAAGGATTTCAGGACGTTAAGTAAACTCTACGGAAGAAACAGAAGGTTAAAGTTAGGGGATGATCAGCTCGTAGGTCAGTAATGATGCATCTGTGTGTGTTTCCTCACTAAGGACTGGTCCAGGCAAACAATAGAGTTGTAGCTAAAGTTGAGTGTGTGCAGCTCCAGCCAAGGCAGTGCAGAGCTCAGGTCACCTCCACACAGAGAGAGCAGCTCCTGAAGAAACAACAAAGAGAACAAATTACTTTTATTGCCCAAAATAGATCCAACGACAGTAAGAAAACATGCTGCAAACATTGAATTACCTCCAGGGAGCTGAGGCTCTTTGAACATGTGAAGACCTCCAACTGGGAGTAAACTCCTCTGAGTCCCTCCAGACAGTGTGGAGGGATTCGCTTTAGCTACAAGACAGAACAATACAAATCTGAATGTTTTCAAGACAAATAGAAAATGAAGGCAGAAGCAGGCGTGAAATAAAAAAGACTGAGAGGTAGAAATGAGTGAATGAAGGGTTCATACGTTACCTCCAAACACTTCAAAGACTTGAAGGGGAATATTTTCACCACAGATTGGAGTTGAACTCCTGGCGGGTTGATGAGCTGCGTTTTAAAATAAAGAAACGCCACATGTCATAAATAAGGAATCCAGGAAAGGTAGAGGTACATTGATATTTAAACAACTGTTACCACTATTACAAAAAACACACCTTCTTACAAAGATGAATGACAGCTCAGGTTAAAAGCTATCTCAATAAATAGATTGAATTCAGTTATGATGGTTCCCTTGTTTTTTTTAAAGTGTTACCTTGTTGAGGTTGCAAATGAAACTTCTGTGATGCAGGAATAATTTCAGACTTCATCTGACAATAAAGTATTATCGAATCGTATTCAATGACTTATGGGAAGCTTTGGGAGGAGCTTAAGATAGACTTTTTAAATAGCAGATAGAGGTCACTTGGAGCCTATCATGACTATCAATGGAAATCATTTTAAGGGGCCCTAGCTTACCTTAAGGGAGATGGTCTTCTGCAGCACGTCAAACAGGAACTGCAGCTGCAGCAGAGAGGCAGTGTCCGCAGGGTGGGAGGGCAGCGCCAGGAAGCCATGCTGCTGGCTCCTGGACAGCAAGTACTGCTCAAAGAGCCGGGTGAGCTGCTGCAAGCTGGCCGCCTGCAGGGTGAGCGTGGAGCTGCCGTCCAGCACCGAGGCTCCTGGAGGTGAGGAGAGACAACTCAGTTACCTCTGGAGAATCTAATAGTACACTTTAATCTGCAGCAAATTGCAACAACTGTTAAAGAAGACATGAAGAAATTATATATAATAACAAAGAAATGGAAATATAACTTTTGAAACTTGAGTTTGACAAAGGATTCAGCCACTATTGAATTAATTACATTACATGAGGGTTGACTATGCAAAAATACCTAAGGTATATCTTCTCTGACAATCAAACATATTTATCACATAGTTTGCACATTGTTATAATAATAATAATGTCATTTGTTGTGTTGTTTCTAAGCAATTTCAAAGCAGGACCAAAGCATGTCAGCAACCTCAGATTTTCAGAATGATGAAGAACGAGTTATAGGTTCCTGTCTGAATGAATACACCCAGCTCTTGTTTTGGTTGCATTGTGCAGGTGGAACTTCAGCCCTAATTCACTTGACACGCCAAAGTATTTTGGTATTTATGTACACATAGGGTAAAGTGAGTGTATGTGAATAAGAGTGTACTTTACCATCATTTCGGAGGAGTGTGGCCAAGCTGTGTACAAGGGAGGACTGTCCACTGTGAGGTGCAGCCATCCTGAAACAAGGCATTATGTTAGCACGACAATAGAATATACATAAATAAAGAACATTTCCTTCTTTAGCAGCTGATAACAAACATTTTCAGCCTGCTAATTAATACATTTGTGTACATGTCAATGCATTTTAGCATGGTTGTTTAGCGTTAGCATTATAAACAGCTAACATTAGCTCAGCTAACCGTCGTTAACTGGCAAAAAACGGCATACCTGTGCAGTGACAGCCAAACAATGGACAGCTAACATATAGTTTTACTTCGAGTAGGCAGAACTAAATGGTCTTCATTGTTGAACTAGAGGAAAAACAACGTCTCAGTGGTATTTTGTGGGTGTCATAGAGCAGTCAGTGCACGGTAATGTTGACATCCTTTCGTCACATGATTCAGTTCTAACACTTCTACGGTGGCCACGAGGTAACAAAATACTGAGTCAGTCAAAAAGTCGCAACCACTCCCCTCCCTAGATGTAAACTGTCAACAAAAAAAAAGGAAATCACCGTTTTAATTTTGGTGTATTGGTGCTTAGGATAAGAGCTTCATTAGCCACAGCTTGGAAGACATTAAAGTAGAAACTATCCAATGTAAACTCATAAACGCCTGTTTTCAGTGTTTTTCCCCTTTAACTGCTTGACAAATGCTGTCACATCTTATAAAATGTATGTTTTTAATATGAGATAACTACATTAAACATTAGCTTTATCTTAAAATGACATACAAATAGTACATTTGTGTGCCGCTTTAGCACTTTTTTGTTAATTGTGCTGCATTTGAACACTTACTGCAGGTGGCCACTGGGTGTCGCCCTTTAGCGAGTAACCCAGAATTTACAAAGCATGCAGACATGATTTTTGCCAATAAAAAAGTCCAGTTAAGTGCTCACTATGGCCAGCAAAGACACTGAATCCATCCAACCATTCATTAGAAAGGCAAGCTGCTGCACCATGCATAGCAACAACAACAAAAACAGCATTTTGTTGAAAATGAGGTCTTTCTTTTAACCATAAAGCCAGAAACAGCATTTCAAATCTTGAACGTATTGACTTAAATTGGGTTAGGATCTGTTGTGCCTCTCAGTCTTTAAGTCCCAGGTAGTTAGGCACGTGCTTTGTGGTTTCTGAGGTTTCTATTAATGCCATCTGTCAAATGTACCAACTTGAGTCTCATACCACATCTGCATGTTGGCAGCTGTTGGTCAAACCATATCCGACTCATGGCAGCAATGAAAAATGTAGATGGGTAGCTGGTTGGCCAAATAAAGTGAGTGTTACTAATGCTTTACTTTACATGGCAATAAAGTGTAGTGGTTTTTGAATAAAGGAGACATGATCTGTTTGTAAAAAGTCTGTTTCCTGGTGAAATGCTTTTAGTTAGAAGGTAGAAACTTTGTTAGAGGAAAAACAGTTATGTCAGTGAATAGTGTAATACTGACATCAGCTTATAACCAGGCTGAGGCTTGAACTTCTGGACTGTAAAGCAACGCATTAACACATTCACAGAGCACCTTTTAGCAGGTCTTTATTTTGTCTCTTTGGGGAGTACGTAACGCTGTGGCAGATTCTTCACAAAGATGTGTATGAGCAAATAAAGCAAAAACTTTCCTAATTTGCTCATGCATCACTTTGTTGCTAAGCAGCAAACAAACACACTAACACTTGGACATTCACATACAAAAACACACACACATAAGCATTTTTCCACTCGGGACTTGTGATGCCAACATTTCCATGTAAGGATTTATGTACTGCAATTTGGTAAACATTTCCATTCAGTGAGATGTTGCACATTGCACCCGTTTGTTAACTGTGCATGCATGAAAGCTATGTTTCCTTACCCGTATGGACTCTTTCCTTTGCAGTTCAGATGCACAACAAGGAACATTTAAATGTAGCATATAAACACATAACCAGCTGTTTAGTTTATGTAAGTGTGACTTCATTCCTTGCGTTCCCACTAATCAGATGATGAATTACTTTTCCAACCCCCGTACTCATTGCCTGTACTTATCTCATCAGTAGTCCAAGCAAAGGGAGCCTTAATTAAGTGCAATCAAAGCCAAACACTAAACAGCGCACTCATTCATTATCAGAGGCTGAAAAATGAACATGAGGAGGTCTTTAGGGGCCTGTTTCAGTTGATAAGAGCCAACATTACAGTAAAACTAAACCTAACTGTGTTTGTTTTGGGAGTATGCATTTTAGATTTAGAGACTGTTTGTGAAATTATTTGCTTAAGCTTTATTACACAAGGTAAAATATGTTTTAGAGAACGTCTAAGGATGAAACAATGCTGGATTTTTATCGCTGATTGTCAAAATAACACTCAAAGTCAGATGTAATGTAATGTTATCTTACAAACTTGAATTGCCTATAGTAATTTATGTCACCAAATCATCAGGATTCTAGTATTTGGCCTATTCTGAGGAGTTGTTTGTGTTGGCAAACGTTTTTCAACTTGGTGAATTTCCTGATATATATACATCATGCTGTATATGGCTTGTAATAAGAACACACTTTATATCAACAACCCCCTTTTTATTAGGGGTGTACTCAATTAAAGACATCATGCTAAAGTTTGTATTAAAAAATATGATGTATCTTTTGTTTACCAGAGATGTGCTCACATTTCTTTTGGAAACATGTCATACATCACAAAAAAGCTTGTAAAATGATTGATAAGCTAAAGAAATAACAGCTGTAACCCTACTTTGTATTATTTACATGAGCAACTAATAGATCATTTATACGCCACTTCAGTTGTAAACACATTTTAAGTGTTTAATAATGTCTTAATCACCAACTATAACTGATCACATGAGCTTCATTTATGTGCTGAAAAGGCAGAACTTTGGGACTCACTGTAGGAGATGACATCTGCCATACAACCCAGTCTCTGTGTACCCATTGAGGCACATGTACTGTATGTGTCCTCAGCCCATCTGTAATCCCATACCCTCCTCTATCAATGTAGAGTTTATCCAGAGTTTGTGTTTGCTTAGCAGTTCCACAGGGAGGAATTTAAGTAACTGACCTTGGTGGGGATTACTTTGCACACATGGGCAGATACTGCGGCCCATTCGGCCTATTAGCTAGCCGCTATCCTGCTGCTTTTCCAGCCATGGTTTCATAAAGTGACATATGAGGTTCTATGAGCAAACAGCCTTCTGGGCGTCCTCCTGACTCCCACCCCTGAGATATTAGACAGCTTCAAATGTGCCCTTTCTCCCTCAGGATGCCCAATTGTGAATAGGGCCAAATAACATCAAATCAGGGGGCACCCACAAAACTAAATAATCTGAATTTAGTTGGAGTAAGGTTACACTTCTATTTCTGGGCTCTTGGATAAACAGCGATTAGTGAACCGCACTGGACAGGGTTAATAGGGGCCTGTTCCGTGGGCAGACACGACACCTCAAGGCTTGGCCCTCGCTGATCGATAGGAAACACTTCTGAATACGTGCACAGTGGCATTACTGTACACAGGCATGTACGTTTTGCTTGCAGCTGGCATCTTTTAATTGAGTGTCAATGGACATTTGGTGGGTGGGGAGGTCTTTCCACGTGAGGAATGCATGGCACATAGAACTTTTGTTTGTTTGTTTCTTTATTTATTTATGCATTCTGGGAGTTTTGGGCAGACGGTGCTGATTGAAACAAACCGGCACAGTATTATGTAAAGTGATGCAGAGTCTTACTGCCAGGGAGTTGTGATTTACTGCCTTGCTTTTGAAACTGGAGCACCAGCTCAAGTTTCACATCTACTTCTATTAAGCCAAACTGTTTTATTGATAATTGCCTTTGAATCACTTTGTTATTGCCATAAAGAGGTCAGGGGTCAGCTAAAGAGGACCCAAGAGAGTAAATATAAAGCATGTTTTTGTGAACCTCATTGATATATTAATTTATATAGGTATATATGTATATTTCTCTTTATAAACATGTGTTTTCATCCTCAATATTTGTTTTTTCACTGTATCCCTATTAGAGGAAGTTGCAAAAAGCAATTAACAGTTGAGGCTTGTAATTTCATCTAATCATGTAGCTGTATTCTCAACACTTTAATTGTATTAATTATCTTTCATTTACATGACTTATGCTCTCATTCTGAGCCATTTTAGACAATTCTAATATAACATAAGAAAATATACTTGTGCAAAAATACCAGCCAAACTATAACATTTGAAACAAACGTCTTCCGATGCTCCCAGATTAACACCCACATGTGGCCCCTAGAGCAAACCTGGGAATTTGTAGGACCCAGCAGCCTCGCAGCCCCGGGCTTCACCTGTTCGCATGCACATTTCTTCCCCTTTTTTTTCACTTGGGATTGCCTTCCATCGCCCCATGATAATGACCCAAACCCTCATGCCTTTAACAATGCTGTCGTACGCGGGCTGCAGCTTGCTGATCCTCTCCGCGTCTCTCGCCGGTGCTTCCCTGGCCGAGATGGTGTTCCGCTGCCCGGGCTGCACCGCGGAGCGCCAGGCTCTGTGCCCGAGGCTCACCGAGACTTGCGCGGAGATAGTGCGCGAACCGGGCTGCGGGTGTTGCCCCGTGTGCGCCCAGCAAGATACCGAGATGTGCGGCGTGTACACTCCGAGGTGCGCCACCGGTCTGCGGTGCTACCCGACGCCCGACTCGGAGGTTCCTTTGGAGCAACTGGTGCAGGGCCAGGGCCAGTGCCGGCGCAAAGTGGACCCCGAGACCGCCACTCACAGCCAGGAGCAGCGGGAGCAGACCAGCGGTCAGTCAGTTTACTGGATCCTGTTCTTTTTCTCCCATCAATTTTTAATGACACTGTCTAGACTGCAGCCAGAAGAATAGTGTAGAAATGTTGCATTGTCATGAAGCTCCAATCTGTGTAACCATTATACAATAGTGCATGATATCTTTAAGATATATGTTGTGATTTTACGTATAGTTTGCTTTAAAGTCTGCAATGCATCCTTTTAACATGCATTGTTTAATAATTTAAACCATTTGCATTCAGGATTTACTACAACAAATCTGTTGTTGGAGCACTTTATTATGTTGCATAATCATTTATGCTATTGCTGTATTTCCTAACTATACTGCAGATATGGTTCATGTTATGCTTGTTGCATAATTTTCTTACACTCCTGTTAATGTTGCATAGACATGTTTATAGTGTTGAGGATCCTCCTGGTGTGCATGCACTATGCTCCGAACAGCTGGCCCTCCAGTCTTTCCCAGTGTCGGAACAAATCAGCCTTTAAAGCACTGTAACAGAGAACAATGTAGTGGCATGCATAGTTCTTAGAATGAGTTGGATAGACACAGAAAACATCATAGTATTGATGTTGACATTTCCAAAGGGGAGTGGAGAGGGAGACAGCAGGAGGAATGCTGTATTGATTGGAAAAGTGGACTTTAGGCTTTGACCAGAAATAGCAATAAACTGGTGTTTAAAGTAACTACATTATGGGCTGTCTACCTGGAAAATGATCTAAGATTAATGTGCAGGATGATCACAATGAAGATCCGTGCGGCCTGCAGCCAGCATGTGGTTTGTGTTTGAACAGGAACAGGTCGCAGTGAAGAAGAAAACTAAACAGCCTCATTTAATTGGATGATTTCATAAAAAGCAGCACACAGTCAATGAGTGTCCAGTGGAGCCAGCGGCAGTGTGATTTCTACTCATTTCCTAATCCGTGCTTTGTCAGAGTTTACCTCCAGACTGACACGTGTTTGTTTTGGCACTGAACTCCTGGAGCGTAGGGAAACTAGATGGCGTTCAGAATAACCCTGTTTTCGGTCAGAACTCTGCAGCACTCTTTAAAAAGGTCAAAAATGCTCCACGCCACATTTGTGGTTTGATAATCAGCCACCATCCGGACTTAATCCCACATTCATGCAACCTTATTCAGCAAGGTTCACAAGGTTTTTGAAGTTACATAAGTGCAAAAGAAGAGAATAAAATGCATGGACAAAGCATGTCAAGGAAACAGGAAGGCAATTTGTTTTCTTCTTTCTTCTTGTTTTTTTTCTTCAATACTAATTCTGGGATTCAGTTTGATTACCGGTAAAAGCTTCAAAATGTCCTCTGAATTATGGATTAAAAGCCTTGCTGTGGATGCAAGAGTCATTTCTGTGTCACAGTGCATGGTCAAAGTGTATAGCAACTTCTCAAGGGCAAAAGATAAGAGAGTAATGTTTTTGTACAAGGAAGAGACTCAATATAATCCATAGAAACATAACAAGTCTACAGAAAGATTTAACTGAAAACAAAGACACATAAAATGACCAAAAAGTCACACAATGTCAATAAAGAGACAAAAGAACACACAAATTGACAATGGGGAGACACAAAATGACCACAAAGACACACAAATCTATCAGAGAAGACTCACAGAAGGGTCTATCTCCGAGAGGTCATATAACGCAGAATGAGCTTCAAAAAATGCTTCTTTTTTTTACGCCATTAGATGTTATGTGATATAAAATAATACTCTTGGTGTTATGGATGCTTACTGTCAGTCTCCTGCTTTTACTTTGGCCCCATTTCAGACTATACACAGAATTGATTTCCTGTCATAAATTCTTCTCGGATACACAGCAAAAAGAGGAAGAAATGAAATCTATGATCAAATTCAGCTCAAGGGAGAAGCCGGGGGATTTTTAGAGCAAACTTGAACGTTCTGGCTAAAATCCACTGGCATTAATCTCAGAAAAATGGGCTGATTATAAAACGATTAAGTGGCTGTATTTAATCAAAGTATGAAATATTGCAGCTGCATTATTTGGATACTAATAGGCCACTGCATACATGGCATCCTGGTTTTAGTGCTTGTTTTATGCCAATTAATGGGGTATCCATAGGAATTTAAAAATGACAGTAGCACTACAATCTCTGTAAACCCCATCACTGCAAACCACTATAGAGGTCAAAGGTCAGAGACAATATTCTCCCCAATTTGGAATCATTATGTAAGAGGTAAGATAGGGAACATAAGAGAGGTGGAAATCAGTCAGAGGAGGGACATTAAGATGAGTGAATAGGAGATTATACATTTTAAAAAGATACAAATTCAGTTTTTGTTGTTGTTTTGTTGAGGCTAATGATTAACACTTCCATTCAAATCTAATATAGCTGTTGCTTTCTTGTCTACATAGCTACAAAAACACTGATATACCTACAAGATTTATCCCAGATATGAAATAAATTGAAAATGAAAGCACTGCTCAGAGAAAAGGGACTGAATTCAACAAATATCACGCGATGTTCTTGTGGTGCTCAGACTTAACATTGGATGTGAGCACGCAGACATGTGGACCCTCCAGAACGTCTGAAATGCAAATACGAAATTGCACTTGGTTGGGTTGAAAAAGACCAAAACCAAATCCTGTGCGCTCTGATCCCCCCCCCCCTTAAGGCCTTCAGCATCTCTGATCTGTGTGTGTGTGCTGCACGAGTGATTGCCTGCATGTGTTACACTGCAGGCAACTACACAGAAATGTTGAGAAAATAAAAAGGCTTGTTTTGTACGTTTTTACTTAACATGGTGACAGAACTGATTAAATAAAGTACGTCTTCAAATAGATTTGTATTTATCTCTAAGGCTTCATACCAAAGCAATCCACATGTGTTAAAACCAGATGAAGGGATGCGTGTTGAAATATTTCCCAATCTGATCTTGGTTCCATTATCTCTATCAGACGTTTGCACACTGTAAAAATGTTTTATTCTCCAAGCAACTTAATATTTCATGGTAAACTTGGATGGATTTGATTAATATAACTACGTTTATTTTCATTTCAATATTAGACTTTGACTAATAACAAAACCACTCCATCTTAGATGAATTTTCCAAACGAACACCCACGACTTTCCCTCTCTGTTTATGCGCAGCATCACCTGATATTCTGTTCCCATAGAAACCTAGACCCAAATAAAGGTCCCTTTAATCAAACTTGATGGGCGTTCAGTTGTTTTGACTTGGACCGTATTATATTTGACCTCTATAGGGAACCAGTTGATTAAAAAGACTAAACAAAGCCCATACTTTGTTGCTATAATTGGTTATTTGACCCTAACTTAACCAGAATCAGTTTTTGTATCAATAGTGTTATACAATCTGTTATGAAGAGAAAAATGGGGTGGATAGAAAAGCGGAAAACTCCTATGCCACCTGGCGACTGATGTAACATTGTTAGCTGACAGGGGGCATTCCTGTGTACCTGCGGGGGCATCCAAACGGAGCCCGCAGGACTGAAATAGCTTCGAGATAATCCCCCCCCCCTCATGCCAGGCTTCTCTACAAACAGGGGCATTTGCGCCATCCTCCCCGAGGCGTCGACATCACTTGTCCCGGTGCCAAGAATCTCCTCGTGCCTATTGAGATCCAGAATAACTTCCCACTAACCCTTTCTTTGGTCATGAGCGAATCAAGACAATACCATTACTGTCCGAAATAATACTGACAGTGGACGGAGTGGAACTGTTGGGGCCTGATCTGTTTCTTCTTCTCTCTTAACTTCAGTGAAATCCTCTACACGCTGATGTTATCTAAAACCAACCCCACGACTTTTAGTGTTTTCCGTCTACTCACATATCTCACCTTCCGCGGTCCATCTGCATTTGATTCTGTACAATCTCGATGTGTTCCAGCTTGCCTCTGTTCATGTCCTAGTTGAGGGCCCGTACAATCACCCAGCGGTGCCGGTAGAGAGCGAGATGGCCTTGGATGCCGCGCTGTGTACGCACGTGCCAGAGCCTGTCCAAAGCCTGCTTTTAGATATCTGTTGCGGGCCAGAAAGCCTGGAAGGTAAACGTATCTTCACTTTGCTGAATTTGTGTTTCTAGGCCTTGCTATGATGGACTGCAGCTACCCTTTGCAGTGCCTTTCATCCACTTCTTAAATGAACTATTTCACACGTCCGAGCTGCATTAAAAATACCTTTTGAGAAACAGATTTCCTCCTTCCGACATTAAGAGGGATGGTTTATTTTGGGGGGAATAATATTCCTTCTGTTCCAGAGTCAGTTTGGCGCTTTACTAATCGATTTGTATGCAGTCAGAATCCTTGATACACAGGCATCGTCAAAGGTGATCTCAGGTAAGCTAATTTTAGACAGTCATAGTCATACACACTTCTTCAAGTATTCAATAAAGACATAAAGAAAGTCTTTAATCAGGTAGTCGGAGTTGGAAAGTGATTCTTCTCCCTTTGGTGTGTTTTCAAGTGAATGTAAAGGAGAGGCCACAAAAGTGTTTTCCAAATGTTAACTTTCTGATGAATTCCCTTGGATTTTTCCACAACTAGCTAACCTGTCAACATCCCTTCAGCGACATGGCAAGAATTAAGAAGGACATGACATCCATTTGTAAATCTGACAAAAGAACAAGGCTCTATTTGGTTTCTATGGAAATAATGGAGCGAGAATGCTTTCCATGCTTTCCATTCTCCACCCGAGGCCAAGTCTGCCATTTGCTCAGTTGACCAGAATCTGGACAATCAGACATGACACTTCTGGCCTACGTGCCATCTTGGAATTCGACATGGATCAGATATAGAAAGCAAGCCTCTCGGGCCATTGTGTGAGGATTAACTCAAGCAGTAGACTGGACAGTAGGCCTGCTGCTCTGTTGATACTGCTGATCCCAAGCCCACCGCTGTGGAACGGCTCGGTCTGCAGAGGCCTAGCGCCCCCTGAAAGTGGGGTCCTGACCCTGTGTGTTAGTGTGTGTGTATATTCAAGATGGAGATTTTTTTTGTGTTGTGTGTGTGTGTGTGTGTGTGTGTGTGTGTGTGTGTGTGTGTGTGTGTGTGTGTGTGTGTGTGTGTGTGTGTGTGTGTGTGTGTGTGTGTGTGTGAGTTTTCATCTCCGGTTTCCTTAGAGGAGAGGGAGTGATGGTGTTGCACTTGGATTTTTTTCTGTGGGGATTATGTAAGACAGCAAAACAGAAAAGGCACCCCATCCGCCAATATTTTTCAATGAGTGTGTCGTGTGTTTATCTGCACACACATGCGAGAGCACACACCTGATTTCAGTTGACTTTTGCCCCTTTTTTTGGGAAAGAAACTTCAAAGGAGAGCCAGAGAAAGCACGGTGGAGCGTCATGAGGGGAGCTGAATTCCAACAACACCAGATCTATCTGATGGCAAAAGGCGCCAGCACCTTGTTATTGCTTAGTTTGGAATTTCCTTTCTCCCGTTCTCTCTTAGGCCTTTTGTAATCATATTCTACTACCGGATGTCAAATTTACCTCTTGCAGAGTGCAGAGAATGCCTCTCCAGTCCACCTCCACCGGTAACACACACTCTCTGTCCTGCAAACGCCTTTCAACGAGTCTGCACATTACAGCCTGGCCCTTGCATAACTATCCACTTACTGGCCCACTGTTTGACCTTCTCTACTGTCTGTGCTTATTTCCCCTTCTTTCCTTCGGGTGTCAGATAAAGCCCTGCATAGGTGAAATATATGCTGAACTGGAAAATCTGTAAAAACAAACACTTTCCTGTACTGCTAGCTACACAGAGCTGAAATGTTGCTTTCATGTAACATTTCTTTCTCTAAAATCCGCTGCTTTGGAAGGACGCTCCTTTTTCTTCTCCCTCTCTGTCAACCGTCCACCTCTAAGTATGCTCTGTTGTCAGAAACAACATGTTGGGTTGGACCTGATGGCCTCTCACATTGTTTGCTCCATCTGTTTGAAGAGAGGGTTTTTTTTCAGGGTTGATGTTTAACAAGACTCCAAGGAGAGAGGAGACGGTCAAACTGAATGAGAACCGCCTGGGGAATCTCCGGCCACAGAGACTCTGCTGTTTTGTATTTTCAGGGACAGGAAAAACACATGCAATGCATTTGCTTTGTCAAGGGAAGTGGGACGCTTGCTTCATGTTTAAATATGACTTCCTTGTTACCTTTCCTTGTGTTAAAACGATATATTTATTGTTGCACAGTGAGGATTTTTCTATTGTTGTGCATCATGTGTACTGGCCTTGTTCTTTTAAAAATCATGTTGCATTCAGGACACTTAAGCTGCTTAGTTTCTGTGTCTTTTTTCAACAAAAAGTTATTTAAAACAAATTGTATTGTAGGTTGTCCCAACACTTAATTTGACCCTAAAGCATTTTTAGCCCTAAAACATTTTTCTGCCATCATTTTTGATGTACCAGCAACGACCTCAAAATACAAGTTTTAGAGTTTCAATGCCTAATAAATGTGTCCATTTATCACCACTTTTCACATCTGCTCATGAAATTAAATCACCAGTTAGGAAAAAAAGCAACCATGGAAACCTGACTGTGACAAACAGTGGCCAACTTCTCTCAGCCCACAGGCTTGTTAATGGAGCTGCATGTGGTTGATTCGCTCTGTGAGAAAATAAAAGGATTGTCATGACTCATCGATTGTGCTGATGCATTTCTGAGCACTTTCACAGTGCTCTGGATACTTCACAGCCTATCTTTAGAAGAATTGTGGTCAAAAGACAGAAAAATGATCGCCAACTTTTATGAGATTCCTTACTATAGATTTTTTATAATTTTCCTGTTGTGTCTCCTCGCTGCAGGTGAGGCTGTGGAGCCGCTGCCTGAGCAGGGTGTGAGTGAGGTCCCGGCCATCAGGAAGCCCAGCAAAGAGACCACCTGGCTTGGGCCCAAAGAGAGCGCTGTACGCCAGCACAGACAGGAGATGAAGACTAAGATGAAGACCAACAAGGTGGAGGAGGTGAAGCCTGCACGGCCCAAACAGGTGAGGGACATCACTTTAGACAGATTTAGCTATTGAAATGTTGGCTGAAAGTCACTTAAATGATTAAATTCAATGAAATGCATTCTATCCGGCACTAATTTGTGACTGTGTTCTATGTTCGAAGTCTGCTTGTTGTAGTCCGATGACGCATGTCAGTTTTTCCATTCGAGCATTACTTCCCCAATTAATTCTTACTATTTCTTTTTTTTTTCTTGCTGTCTTCTAAAACCAAATAACATACGTTTCCTAGTAAACTTCCTCAATAGAGACCACACACAAATGTATGTTTCACACTCCTTCCAATGTGGCACTCTTTTTCTTTTTGATATACATTTTTGTATAATATCTGATCATAGATCACACTGCTTTTTGTCAAGTTACAGGGTGGTCACTCTTTGACTTAAAGTATGTCTTTTATACATAGATATGTGTCCCCGGTGCGTCGGGGAACTCACGCAGCGTCAGAAAATAAAACCCTTTCTCTTTTCCTCCTTACCCAAAGAAAGTTGCTATCAGAAACAATGCCTGATGTGTTTTGGACGTAATATGGAATTTGTTTACATTAGCAAGCCTCGCTAACACTCAGAGCTAACCTGTACTGGAGAGCACATGTGATTAAAAAGCAGGAAATAAAAAAAGGAACTCACCTTGTGATAAACCCGCAAGAGAAAAAGCATTTGAGCTCCATACTGTTTCAGAAATAATCCTTGATGTGGTTTAGAACAGGATGGCGTTTTATCACAGCAGAATTGATCTTTATCTCCGGTAGAATTCTGATCAGGCATTAGCTCCGCCTCCTCTTTTTTTTCAAGCTAAGGACCCAAAATCTGCGTTTCTCTAACAGGGCTGGAATAGAGGGATATGAGGGATGTCTAAAATGCATGATCTGTTTGTATTTTGAGCAAAACACATCATAGGCATGTTTTTATATATGTATAGGCCTATATCTGAGACCTAATATATGCTTTAAAATAGCATGATGTGTGCACTTTAAGTTAATTAAAGGTAGTTTAAGGTCTCTGCAGATCATTAAATGCAGTGAATATATTAATCAAAAAATAAATATACGTGGGAAGTAGGTTTTATGAATCGCTTTTTCTGACGTTGCATTGTTTAATCTCAAAAATATACAATGCCTCTTGCATTAATGTCGTGCTGGAGAGCAGTCAGATATTTGAGCTTAAATTGTATTCCAAATTGCATTAAACCAATCTTTAAAAGTCTTAAAACCACACTTAAAGGAACTCTGAATAAACCTACATTATTTTTGAACGTGTTCAAATTAGAAAAGACTGAAGATTTTTTAAGACAATGCGATGAGATATGCTATAGTATTTCTTTTAAATGTGTCTCTAGTAAATCTCCTTAAGTCTTGTTGGTGTGGAAGACACTACATTAACTTTTCTTTTTACTGAGGGAAGTGGAGCAGTTCAGTGTCGCCGCCCTGTGGTACAGCAGCTGAAGTTGTTTGCATGGTGCAAAGTGTTTTATTGCCATATGAAGATAATTTAAAGTGCAATTTCAAAGCCCAAAAAGGAAAAAACAGTAAAGACCAAATTATATTTGAACGGGATAAAAACAGTCATGGCACAAAGTGAATTTTCCTTCCATTCATAACTCCCACCATGCACTGCCCTTTAATAAATTCTGACCTGGCCCCCTCGGGAAACAGAGCTTGGTCTCACAAGTGGACCTGCATCGTGGTATTTTCCATATGCAATAAAAATCATTGAAACGTTATTAGTGCACCGGAAAACGTATAACTGTCTCACCAAGCCATTTGGCTCTGTGGAGATGTGAGGTAAACCTGAGGTCACTGGCAAGAGTTGTTACTCATTACAGGCAAGAACACATGATTAATTTGATCGTTAAAGAAAGCCCTTAAGCTTTATTATGTGTGTGTGTGTGTGTCAATGTGTGTGTGCCTTTTAAAAGCTATTTGATGTAGCCTGTCTAAATTACAGATTCCCTTGCAAACACAGCTCAGTGTTTATGAAGAGTTTTGCCGAATTTGAAGGAATGTTTGCACTTCTTAAATTAGATTTGTGAAACAAAAGAACACCTTCCATATTTTCAAACAAATAAAAGGGATTTTTTTTGCCATATTTTTTACCCACAGAATCTTGTGACTTCAACACACCCATATGCTGCTGCAATAAGGGCCTGTAAACATGACATGTGTTGTTGTTTTTGCTCTTTTCAAGACTCAGTGTCAGCAGGATCTGGACCAGATCCTGGAGAGGATATCTAAGATGCCCTTCAGAGATAACCGAGGGCCCCTGGAAGACCTGTACGCCCTGCACATCCCCAACTGCGACAAGAGGGGGCAGTATAACCTCAAACAGGTGAGTCTAGTCAATATGGGGAAGAGGGTTGTTAACGGAGAGGCATAATATGGAAGTATTTAGAGGAGAAAAAGGTCGGTAAAGCATCATTACCACCCCTTAAGACACAAATATGTTGTATTTTACGAGTAAAATAAACATTAAATCTTATTATAGTGTTCATTTTGATTATGTAGAAGGTAATTTAAAGAGCAACTTGCAGATTAGAGACCCCAGTGAATAAATGTGTAGGAAAATGATGTATACACTAGATTTTCCCAAAAATATACAGAAATATACGCTACAGTGACATCTGGCGTCGTTTTTGTAAGACATTTTTACTTCCGCATAAATAAATAAAAAGACCACCCACGAGTGACGGGGAGAGCAGGCCGGTCTAACGTATGAATAAACATGTTTCACAATGCTAGTTTTGACACAGAAGAGGTTGAAAATGTATATTCGTATGCATATGACGGACCACAACCTTATAATTATGAGCCTGCTCGGCGTCCAAGAGAACAGGAGTAGCCAAGGATTAGAAGAAATAACGGCCATCGGAGAGAAATTGAGCTGTGGTGTGACGCATACTTGCCAACCCTCCCTATTTTCGCGGGAGACTCCCGATTTCACTGCCCTCTCCCGGTTTCCTCCCGGGGTTATATTTCTCCCGCATTTCTCCCGATTTCTGACAAAATCAGATTTACTCAGGACTGTTTCCACTCAGACTTTAATACAGCTACACCATTGTTTGGTTTCCATCCACTAGCGATCCACTAGCACCCCGTCTTGGTGAGTGACCGGTGTTACAGTTAATGTTAGCTAAGCTAATGTCGGTCACATCACAACATTGTAAAGTTAGCTATCACATATCAGGCTATAACTAAAGTAGTATTGATAATCTAGTTACGTTACTGGCAGGACTGTTGATACTGATCCTAATATAGTAACGTTACTGGCAGGACTGTTGATAATGATCCATAACAGAAACGAATGCGCAAGTATCAGCCGTATCTCGCGTTACCTAATGCAACTCCACATTACGTCTTACGGTGCTGTGTACCGGAGGGGAGAGTGAGAGGAGCGAAGGGGGGAGAGAGAGAGGAGCGAAGGGAGGAGAGAGATGTAATACGGTTTCCTGATAAAAGTTTTGTTTGATAGGCCTCAGCTATGGAGAGTATGTGCTGCAGGGAGGTGGATGCACCTCGCACAACGCACCCAGGAACGTACGCTAGCTCCGGTCCTTTTCCTGTTAGGGAAACTGTGGATTCGATGTCCTGACAGGCTGGAGTTTGTCACCATGATTAAAAATGGTGAATTGCAATGTAAAATTGCCGAAAAAATACCAGCTCACTAAATCACAACCGCTCAAACCAACTACAAACTACTACCGCAGATTGGGCAGAGAACGAGTCCGAGAAAGTTGCTCCCCCATGTGACGTAATATGACGCGTTTGACGTATGAAGTTAAAAAAAAAACAGTTCTTAGTAGCAGAGCTCAAAAAGGCTCCTTTCCCCTCTGAATTCCTACCCTTATGTCTCGTAAAACACATCAAATCCTGCATTAACTTTTTTAATTGTAATTTTCAGACAAGGTTAAGCATAAATCTAGTAAAAAAAACAACTGCAAGTTGCTCTTTAAGACATTATCTTCACCATGATATAACTATTTAAACTGTATATACAGTATATAAAGAAAAGAATCTCAAAAAGTGCAGTAACAATTTTTTTCTGCAAATTCCTGCACAAACCACACATTTACATGCATTAAGGGTTGTTGCAATGATGACAAATTACCTAAAAATAGTTAAATATTAAAACCACTTTTATTGGGTTTAAAATGTTTTATCTTTCACTATGTCAGCAAGAAACATTGGCTCTGTTAACCTGATGCAATATTTCTGCACAGACACTTCATATGCTTTTTTAGGGTTGCAATGATGTAAAAGGAACTAAAACACACAGAAATAAACACAGCATTTTGTGTTTCAGTGCAAGATGTCCCTCCACGGTCAGAGGGGCGAGTGCTGGTGCGTCAACCCGCACACCGGCCGAACTATCCCATCAGCCCCCACTGTGAGGGGAGACCCCAACTGCAGCCAGTACCTCAGAGACCTGGAGCTGGAGCTGGAGACCCCTGACATGGCCCAGATATAATGTGGCATGAAACAAAAAAACTGTTAAGTACTTGGGAACAAAAAACCTCTGAGTAAGCTATATATTATATTCGTGTGTGTGTGTGTGTGCCTGTAGTTCATTTGATGACAGTGACGTTTGAAATATTAACCATCAAAAAAGTCTTAGAATCCAGTTTGCTGAGTAGGATGTAACGGGAGATAAGACTCTCTTTTCCTCGTAGATGTTCAGAGTGTTGGTAGCTTTACTAATTATTGCTCAGTTTTTTTTGTTATCAATGTTTTTTACTGTATGTGTTGAAAAACGAGGAGCCTTCAACATGTTTGGTGTTTTTAGGTGTGTTTTCATGTCCTAGTTTGCAGACTACTGTTACACCTTATTAACAGATGATGCTATTAAAAAGGTAATAAATTCAAATTGGGCCTGCCTGTGTTTTGATTTGTAAACACACTTTGAATTTGGCACACTCGATGCAGTAGTATTTGTATTAATGTAAAGGAAAGAAAAACTTTTCATACATTTCGTAGTCTGTTCACCTGCTTTTTCTCACTTTTTTAGACTTTCTAGTGTGATGCCAAAGTAGAAAAATCAAGTGGGAATTCGCATTATATTAGAATTTAAATCACATTTATTGATGATAAAGCCAAAATAAATCATACCCTCTATGGGTTTGATTAAAAAAACATGTTTGCTAGACCCCTATGAGTTATATCATGGCAACCAGTATCGCCATGACAGCAGATGGAAACACCCTCGTGGAGTATCACCTATGTGTCTTAAGCAGTATCAAGGTCGTGCAGATAGCAGTCACAAAATACACTGACTCAACAATTCACACATTGAAGACAAAACTGCTGACATGGCTTTGTTGTGACTACATGAACTTTATTTAAATAGTGATTTGTCATTACAAAAAAATAAAACGAGTACATCAATTACACGCCTGATAAATATTTCACCATAAATGTTCACATTTCTTTTTTTTAACTGAGATTCTTAAATGTTCAAAGTGTCACCGTGATGCGTTTACATGAGTGCTAGAGTCATGATACAGTGGGGAAGAATAAGCTGATGACACAACGCTCTCCTTATGTCACAATATAATGATTAGGCATTAGGAATGTCTGAGATTATACGAGTCAATAAATGAACATTAAGATTATAACAAATAAATGTTGAGCTGTAGAACGAAAATGTTGTCCCCTGTCATTGTACGTTTCTTTTTGTGTTAAAAATAAAACTCAAACACGGCACATACACTTCAAATTGTTTACCTCCTTTGTACTGGCCCTGATTCGACAACACAATCGGGACCACACGCAAATACAATTCAAAGTGGCGTAGGGCAGAAGGCACTTTAATTTCCATACAAACTCAGCAACCTCGCTCTTAACAGGATACAGGAGCCGATAAAGACCGAGAGCAGACTTACAACCTGCAGGCGGAAACACAAACAGCGCGTGGGCCTTTGCATACGATTTGTGTGCGGAGGGAAATGCTCGGCACCACGTTTTGTCCGACAGTAGCTCAAGTGAGAAATGAAGTTTCTTTGTATTTGAGGACTATAAGGACATGGCACATTAGGTACACACATACAGACACAATTTGTACACACATTTACAAAGAGTGGATGCAGTTGTCTGGACGGCCAAATATCTAACCTGTTAAAGAACAATATGCTTGTTTAAGAGTGCTTGATTGACATGAAGAAAGTAATCATCTCTAAAGAAAATGATTTATAAGCATACCCAACATCTGAAGTGGATTCTTTCCATGGACAGTTTTTTGAGAGGAAAACAGGATTTCGACAGCAATCCAGAACAGTTTGCCTCTTTTTCCTGCACAAGTAGACTAAAAGATGGTGCGTTTAGTGTTAGTCGGCAGGATATAAAGTCAGGAATAACAATTGTTACATCCTGTTGTCATTCACATGTAACAGTTAGTAAGGTAATGCTAATTTGGACCGAGAACTTTTCAATTGTGTCTCCACAACCTTTTTTCTTTAAAAGCCACATTGAAAACATGTCTTGTCTCATAGTTTCTAGGATACACTCAGTACACAACATATTATCAATATAATACAAATATATATAGTCCTCTATTATCTATGGATATGAAGAGGTGAGGTGTTAGCTACCATCAAACATATACGGTCAATGGGGCGTTAAGACCTACATGTGACGCTTTTCAAAAAAACAAACAAATAAAAACAGTCCATCACACTTGGCCATACTTAGAAGCATTTGTGCCATATTTTCCTGATTGGCCGTCATGACGTGTGCTAGCTTGATTGGTGGGTTTAAGAAGAGGTTCCCTCTCATTCGTTGTTGTTGCTGCTGCTGTCGAAATCTTTGCACTGCAGGTCTCCCTCGGTGTAGTTGATGCCGGGGATTTTGTCGCCAAATCGGTCCACGCACCAGCAGATCCCCCTTCTCCGACCACGAGACGGCTTACACTGCAACGGTGGAGTTAACACAGAGTCAGCACTTTGGAAATAAAGGGGTTTTAGGCATGTTACAATGATCTGGTTGGTATTTCAGCCAAACACTTCAGAGACATATTCTGTATATATCTGACACCTATAATATATTGTTGAAAAAGAGTATACTAGGGGACCTTTAATAGATTATTCGTACCTGCTTGCGCTTGAAGAAGCCCTTCTTGTCACAGTTGGGGATGTACAGAGAGAGAGCCAACACCCGAGAAGTGTCCTTCATACTCTGAATGAGATTATCCAGTCTCCTTCCGCAGGGGCCCTACACACACAGACACAGGTGTGAGTGTGTGCATGGTCACAATGTGTGTTTTGTGTCTATTTCTGCAACAATAATGACATCAAGACAGGAAGGTAATACAGGTTAAAGACCTAAATATCTATATTGAAATAGAGTTGATTAGAAGGTTGATTTCAAAATTGAATATTTAAGTCACCTTTGCAGCTGTAGTTTTTTTAAACCACTACTTTAGGATTAAACCAATAGGATGTGGTTATTTCTTTCTATTTTTACATTTTAGTATAATAGTTTTCCTGGCGACATTTGAGGTAACCAGATGCTGTGATTACGGGAAATACCTCCACTAATGAGTACTTCAGTAATTTGGCATTCGACTGTGTTCACACCTTGTTGTATGTGTGAAAGTTGCCCTGCGGGGCATCTTGGCTTGAATTTGTCAGAAATAGTTTCTTTATGTTTATTTCCCCTCTGAGCTGAGTGAGATTTTCCCTCTGCTATGCCTGACTGTAGTCTCTGCTTCACTTACGAACTCGGGCTCCGATTTATCCAGGCTCAGCGGGGAGAAGTCCAGATTGCTGGAGGGTCCCGGCCTGGCCAGCTGCTTCTTGCGATCCTTGGCCTGCCTCATGGCCTGGGCTTTCCGACTGCTGATGTGGTCTCTTAAGGGCGCTTTGGTTTGCTGAGATTCTCTGTCTGATAGAAAGGCAAGGACAGATGAGGTCACTCCCCATGATCATGCATGTTTGAGGGCTATTAAAGGGGCCCTCTGGGCTTTTCTTTTAAGTTATATTTAAATATCCTCATCAAAATAAACAGTTTATCCTTTAGGCCTAATAAAAGTGTTGAATACATTCCTCCCCCATAAAATATTTGCAAAGCTGATCATCAGCAGTTTTGACTTCTTCTCTGCTTTTTCATATCTCTATATTTCTCTACAGCATCCCACTGCAGAGCTCCAGCCTCGCCAGAACCAATGGCGGAAAATCTTGTGTAGTTATAGATCAAAAATATATAAATTCCACTCTTTTATATTGCACACATTGTTTTATCGTGCTAATCCTTCATAAATAAAATTTGCTTCTAAGCATACATTTAAGCTCATGTAAGCCAACATGAGCTATATGCTAATGTTAAACATGAACACAACAGTATTAGGTACACAAAAAACACACTTAGAAGGTTACAGTTGTATCAAAATGTTTAGTTTACTTTGTTTGCAAACTAATGATTGCATGCTGTCGAACATGGGAATGTGTATTGTATCACAGGGATGTTTTTTTCATACTGTACATGTGCACATAGGACTGACTCAAACTACTATAAAACTTGAATATGAGCATGGGATGATAGAATACTGACACAAGAACAAAAGCAAGAACAAGAATGTGTTTGTGAAGCTTGATTCACACAGGACTACTATTATCAGGGGAGAACTGTCTTCACCACAGTGCAGTTGGTGCACCGGATCTTTACAAATTACAGACATGCAGGAATAAAATAACCCGATACCAATTATTACTAACAACTTGATGTCCACGGGTGTAATATTAGCCCTGTGCAGAGCAAGGCTTCAAAGCATTTTTCTACTGCTTTCAAGAGACTGTTTGAAGAAGAAAAGGGGTCAAAATCAAAAGCATAATGATGGCTCCCACTTGGCCTAAAATTAACAAGTAAAGATCAACTCATGGTGGAAGAGGACAGGAGAATGTCACACAACACAACGTGATGATTTCACTGCAGCAGCTAAATGCTTATTTAGCACTGTTAGTGGCTACTGGCCAGCTTCAGATCCGAAGTGTTGACATACAGATTACAGAACAACATAGCCTACATTTATGGCAAGCTAGGTTGCCAGTTTGGGGTATATGTAGACCGGGGTTTTTAAAACGTATATAGCCGGTGACCTAAATGAGATATTTAGTCTCACCCTGGCACCCAGGCCCATGGAAACATACTATTACACTTGTCATGTGGCGGACTACCAGAAAAGGCCGCAGCCCATTTTGTGTCCCAATCTGCACATGTACATGCAGCCTTCATCTGTGCAAAAATACAGCTCTCCGCTAAATTTCGGGGGCCTCGCACTGTCGCTCAAACCTCAGCTCGCCCCTCTGCCTCGTCCCACCCTCTATTCATCCCACCGCAACAACTGTGTAGAGGCTTTCTTTCCCAAAAGCACTTTTATGCTGATATTTCACTTCATTTAAAGCTTTAAACATGCATCGGCCTTCTATAGCCGCGTTCACACCGGAGTACTTTCCCACTTTAGTTCCGATATAGTTCCGAAATGTCGCGTTCACACCAAAAAAGAGCCGGAACTAAAATTAGTTCATGAGAACCTTTTTACCCCCTTTTCCGTCCCTGCTAGAGAGCAGGGACTCTCATGCGGCTCTCTTGTGAGAAAAGAGCTATATTTCTGATTGGCTGGGCGGATTGCAAACCACGCCCCGTAAAACTCAAAAAAAGTGTTGTGAAGCCACCATTTTATTATCCTCGCATTAGCATTATTGGCATTAGCATTAGCCCTGCGCAGAAACGCAGAGAGACTAATTTACGGCAACACAAAATAAAATATGGGAGCGGTGGAGATGAGGAGGTGTCGGCGTTCTGGCGATTTACTCGGAAGGCTTCCCCGACTCCGGGGACTTCCGGCCGGGGATTTTGGGCGGCAGTATACGCCGTGAAGTTGTTGGCGGCCTGCCAATAAACCCAAAGCAGAAGAAGAAGAAGTGACGTCAGCGGCTTCATTTGCCTAATCCACCCCCAGGGATTTATTCCGGTGTGAACGCGATATGTATTTAGTTCATCAGAACTAAAGAGTTCTGTTGAACTAAATTCTCATGAACCTTTGTGGGAAAAGTACTGCGGTGTGAAAGCGCCTTATGTGTCTTAAGCCTCCGCTGGCCCATTTCCACTGCTGTGACACGCACTTTTTTTCATTTCGGCAGATTCCACATTTCTGCACTGGCGTGATCGCTAAACTAAACTAACTGGGCGGGGGAAACTAGGTCATTGCAAATTATGCTTAAAATCTGGCAAACCCTTACACCCCAAGTGATGAAGAGGATCACGGTTATGTCATCCATCCACATAATTCCAAGTTCTTGGAAACAAGCAAGAACCATCCTCCAGTTTACTGCTGACACAGTTCTTTTTTTCTCCGTCCATTGAAAGCTGAGGCAGATCAGCAGCCAGTGTAAACCCAATCAAGTCCTCACTTGCTAATCCTCGAGTTTGTCTAATCTGACCTGGGCTGACTGATCACGTCTTTCATTGCTTCTTCACCCTTTTCCTCGAGTTGGAATTGTGAAACATGGTGATCTTTGCAGTCACAGAAAAACTCCTTCCTTGGAAATCAATGTGAAATCTGTCCGGATAAAGTTGCAGTTCAATAGTTTAATGTGTCATGCACTAGCAAACATGACACATGGTGTATTACTGTTCTTAAGGATGTGTTCAAGTGCATAGATAAGCTTTTTGGCAGCCCCTACTAGATTATATGCAGCATATACCTTTTTGGCTCATTCTGTAGTTCTGTAAAATGTAATGATGTGTGTATTTATCACAAGTGTGCACATGGGTTTTGTTTAATTTATGTGCGCTCAGCATGAGATGTAGAGTTAACGGAGAAGCCGGCTGACGGGCGGACAGATGGGGTGATCAGTAACCCACGCTCAGCCTGCATTCTGCTGAATCATGGCACAGCCTGGGCCTGCCTGCAGCGCCGTGACCGAGAGAGGGGGAGGGAGGGGAGAGGGGGAGGGAGGCAGATGAAGAGACCAGGGTGGGACTAACAAAGAGTGGTGGGAGGGGAGCAGAGGAGAGTGTGGGAAAGGGAGATGAAAAGAAGATTTTTGGGTATACGACAAGTTCTCAGATGCTCTAAATTAGCTTAGTCTGATGAGAAGAGTGCAGCAACTCCAACATATAATGGTATAAATCCTCACATATGTGATACATGTGTATGGCAATCTTTCTTATCTTCTGCCTTTGTTATTGGACTTCACTCTCAGCCAATAAACTGTGGTTCTTTGGCTCAGTCCTGAGCTCTAACCCCACCACTGAGATTATTTTTGTTTCCAGAGTAGATTTGCTTCTATACCAAAACTCCAATCTGCAGGAGAGTAAAGCATAACACAGAATGGGAAATGGTGAAACTGTGGATGGGTGGGAAGAATAATAGGGTGGAAAAAGATGAAGAGGGACAGTAGCCAGGCAGTGAAAGAGGAGAAGATGCAGTGTGATGAGAGAGAATAGAGACATAAAGGCGGGTTAGGTGTGGGAAAAGGCACAGGTGGTGGATGAAGGAAAGTTGACAAAAGAAAAAAGAAACTGTAGAGGAAGGGAAAAGGGATAAATCAGACCATGAAGAGAGTGTCACAGGCCAACATTTCCCACAATGCTCCCCAGCAGACACAGTGACTGTCCATGAACTGCCATTCAGCGGAGCCAACCAGGAGCCGCACGGAGCACCACCTGTAATCTTCTCCCTTGTTTTATGTCGGCTGGGGGCCCCGAGGCGATGGGCCACTCACACGAAACCTACTGATTTACGGCTCGCAGCCCCACCAGGGCTTTTCAAACCCAGATGACAGGTTGATCGACGCTCCGCGCCAATTGTTGACAGAGTTCACAGGGTCAAGACTCACGGGGGCTTTTGAGTCCTGTGCCTTTAATGACAGGTGCCAGCCCGTCTCAAAGAGGGCTGCGAGGTGACTCACATAAGAGAGGCAGGGAGGGCACTTACACCTCGCCTTTTTAAATCGCACACCTTAAGAACATACTGGATTTCAGTTTTATGACATTGTGTGTGGAGTGTTTTTGGAACACATTTGTTCAGCTTTTCTTAATTCATCACTGGCTGACTCTATGTGTGTGTCAGAGGGCTTCATTAAAATTCCAGCCCTGACAAAGGAGGAGTATCATCATTATACAGCTGTTTGCTATTTCTTTGCACCAGAGCCTTTTACATATGTGGTTGAAACACAATCATTGTAATAAATACCCACTGTTTTCTTGCACTGTTTAATGTCTTTCTTCTTTCTTTTTTTGTCTTAAGTATAGTGTATGTATGCTGCACTGTTGGAATAGCCAGGGACTTAAGATTTACATTATTGGCCACAACTGCACTTTAGATATTGTGTATTATGTACATTAAGACTTTGAATCTATGAAACACTATCAGAGCTGACATAAATATGATAGATGCCGGCCTTAAAGGGACACTGTAAATAACTTTAAAGCCAGTGGGATATAATAGGTGGAAGAAGACAAAAGAAGGTCTGCACAATGAATAAAATATGAAGCTGCTATCATTGAATGGCTTCATTAACGTTGCATTAAAGTCAGTGACCTGTTTAAGCGCCATTAGAACCCTCAGTGGTTACTATACCTTTGGAGGGATGCAGCATTTTATACAACTTCTCGTTCCTGCACAGCCCCCGGCCGTGCAGCAGCGCGTGCAGCGGCTTCTCCTCTCCATTCTTGGGCAGGCAGCGGAGTCCGCGCGTGCACGGCCGGGTGTACACGCCGCACGGCTGGTCCTCTTCGAGCGCGCACGTCAGGCAGCAGCCGCAGCCGGGCTCCTTCACCAGCTGACAGCCCATCGGCACCGGCGGGCACATGGACAGTGCCTTCTGATCGCACGGCTGGCACGGCACGAAGGACGAGCCGCAGCCGGTGATGCTCAGCAGGGGAAGCAGCAAGGAAACACTCCACAGCATGGCGCGAGACTCGTATATTAAAAGCAGGGCGTTGGTTGGAAACGATTATCAACTATATCTCACGCTGAATCCTTTCTCTGCGAATGATTTGAGTCCAAGCATCAGAGGGGGTGTTGCATCCACAGGTGCTTTGCGCGCTCAAATATCACTGCATCCGATGCTCACAATCCACGAATAGTCTTCCCTCCCTGCAAAATATTAAAATAACAAAATAATATCCCTGGATCTCAACCTTCAGTGATGCCCGGTGCCGTTTACGCGCAAGCTACTCGTCTCCAAATGAGAGATAAAATGCCTGTTACACGCTGTCGTTCTCTCTGTAGGTTATTTATCCCGCACGGGCTGCGAGCAAAATGTATAATCTGTGGCTTTGAGCTTGCCTTTTAAAAAAGAAACTGCCAGAGGCAAAGCCTACAACGATGGGTATGTCAAACAACGTTTGGAGGGGGAGGGGCACTTGTCAACTCCGTGCGCTGCGATGCTGATTCCACAGGGCGGGTGCTGGCATGCCTCCAGATCTGCCAGATAGGAGACGATGCTCCTGAAGGCGACTGAATAAGACCATGTGTCTTTCTCTCCTCGCACAGTGGCTATTTAGCATTTCTTATTTTAAGTGTAGTGAAAGCCAGCCGGATCTCTTCTTGAAATAATTCTGGAAACTTAATTAAAAAAGTTGAAGAGTTTTGTTTGAATGACAGCCAATGAACTTCCTAACTGTGCTGCCAGATTGGGAAGTTATTTTAAGTGGAAATGAAAAGTAGTTTTAGTGTTTACAGACCTCTCAGGGAAGAGTCACATCAAAATGGCTGCAGAAGTCGGCAGAAAAGAAAGAAAGTGTGACCTAATGCAACATTATTCATGTCACACACAGGACAAACATGTGGTGTGTGTTGCTAAGAAAACTATTTTGGGTTGACAAAACTGAATCGCCTGTTAAGATATAGATTTATAGTGAGAGGATTCTTTTTTTATGGAGGAAATATTATGATTATTGGTCACTGTGTTTGTGGTAGCTTACAGCTGGGGCTTGCCTGTTTTACGCAGTCACTTGAAGCATGAATGAAAGACTATGTTAAATTGGACATTAATGTATCATCTTTATATCTGTCACAAGATACAATCCGACTGGTTTCTTCTTCCATTTGTATACAGAAATTCCAAGTTTCTTGACCCCCAAACATGCTGGTCAGATTTGGAATCGGTCCGATCTCTCCCTGGAATCCTCTCAATATCTGTACTCGTTTGCCAAAAAGTCCTTGCAATTAGAGTATTTCCAAATGTTTTCGCATGCCAAGCTGTTTTCTTTCCCCTCAGATATCTTTGGGTTTGGATCTCTGTTCAAAGTACTGTTGCTTTAAATATTTGTGCGATGTTCTCTTATTCCTAACAAATGTTCTCAAAAGATCCGCACAATAACTCGTTGTAAAATGTCAGGTCAAACTGCACTTGTACTGACCCTGTTTTGTGACCCAGTGAGGTCAGTGTCCGGCGAGATATCTGAGCAGATGTTTCTGGCAGATACCAATATCTCTGAGTGGAATCTATTTAATGATTTTAACCCCGGGACTGTTATCTTCTTGGAATAGTCATAACTTATTTCATTTGTTAGCCTCTGTGTTTACATCCTGTTATTCTTCATCATCTTCTTCCGTTTGTTCTGTCAGTCAGTGCTGAAACTGACCTTTAAAGGTCAACCCTCATCAAAGCTTTGATTCCTTCGCCGTGTCGCGTTTCACTTCCTCTTTCACCCTTCCTCCCCTTTGTGGAACTTTGTCGGCAAACTATTTTTCAGATCATCCGACCCCTGATTGCCTTTGCCCTTGACCTTCGCTCCGTATCAGTTGTCAAATGTCGTCACAGGTGTCGGAAAGGTCATCACCCACGCACTCTTTTCATGCCACCTTCACAGATTTGAAGAAGGAGCGCCATTCACATTGTAAACCATGTGCGCCACATCTGTCTTCCAGCAAGAAACCTCCTCCTTCGATCGTCTTGAGACTTTCCTACACATTTATGATATATTTCACAGGGGCATTTTGGAAATTCTAATATATTTACACTTGGAAATGGAGGAACTGTGGTCCAAGTGCTTCTAAGGTTCGTAAAGCCTGTCACAGCGTCCGTAAAGGTTGGGTTTCCTGTACAGTTTGGGTTTTAGTCACTTGGTGTATATGGGCCATATAATGCACAGATGGTGGATATAGCGGCTCCGGATAGAGATTAATGCTTTGGGATTTTCCTCGAAATTAAGCCAGGACTAAATGTGTTGAGGTCTGTGAAAGGGTTTAATGCTTTGCTATCTCTGTCAGCGACGTCCATAGAGTTCCTTTAGCAGAGAAATGTAATGGTACACAACATCAACAATTTACGCACAGTTTGTATCGGTTCCACAACTCTTAGCCCAATTTTACAGTAACTTACTAGGAAAACACCAAAAAGTATTTTCCAATTCTACTTTCTCCTTATTGCACTACTGTGTGAAGTGTCTTTCGTCGCCATTTATCTGCTTGGCTTGGCTTGACTTTATTTTTTATATATTTAACACTTGAGGAGTAAAGAACTATCAGTTTTGTCTCTTTGGGTCTATATCTTTGTATTATGGTGCAGTAGTGCAGGGTCAGGTCATAGTTCTTACATGTTATGTTCTTTGAGGGACCCAGCCTGTGATTTAGGACATAGCTACTGAAAGCACATCAGCTCCAGTATTGTTGACCTTTGACCTCTCTGTGAAAGCAAGCCAATACCACAGCCCTTTCTCTTCCCTGGATTATTAAACCTTGCCTGTCTTTGCTTCTATTAGAGGTGTTGTTGGCCAGTCTTCAAACTGTGTCTGAACCAGAACTCATATACAGAAGCTTTCAACTCATCTATCTTTCCCCCCTTTTCCTCCTCAACGTCCTTCTTTTTCTCTGCCATTGTTCTTCAGCTTCTGTTTCCAGCTTTTCTTTCATATCCTGAACTACTTTGTATGTTCAAAGACACTGAAGCTGCTGCTGCACTTGTTCTGGAAGAGATAATGGAGCTCGAGTCAAGTTGAGCGATGTCTTAACAGAAAATGATCAAAAGCGGAGAAAAAGAAGCAAATTCAGCACAAAATGGTTCGGAGTGCCGATAAAATCTATGGGATACAGCGCTCCAGTGTCGGATTTCTCTTTAGCCCCAGGACCTCGGGCTAATGTGCTGCACACAGGAAAGTCAGGAGAGGAGAAGTATGCCAGACAATGAAGTAATCCTTTCTGAAGTGCTAGCCTGAAAGCCTGTGCTGCAAGACGCTTCATATTTGTTTTTCTTTTACCTTCCAGCACATAGAGCAGGTGGAAAATCACCATTGTTCTCCCACTAACCCACAGTGCACTTTGACAGTGTGTTGGCAGGCAGTCGTCGCTGCTAGTTATCACTCCGACTGGTGTACATCAGCAGACTTTGTGTGACTGATGTTCGCCACATGACACAGTCAGAGCTTACTGTAAGCGACAAAGCCAAGCAAACCGCTGGAAATGTGCTGAGGCAGCATGCATTTCCCTCCCCCATACACACTCACGCAGAGATACAGTCGGTTCCCAGAATACGATGTGCTTTTCAGAAACAATTAGAGGAGTCCACGCTTGATAAACTTGGGCTGAAACCACAAGCAATGCAAGTGCGTGGTGTGAAGTACAGGTGTTGACCTCTTTGTTAATCCCACTAGGCATTTTAGGAAGAAAACTACGGAGCAACATTACGTCAAATGTAGTTCTTAAGCATCTCGTACGGCTCTTTCAGAATAAAAAAACTGATATTTAATACGAATAATTGTCCAATTCTGCGCAGGAAGCGATGTGTTTCATGTTTCTGGCATTATCGGTTGTGTTTTTTTAGTGGAAATGGGGAATTGGGTAAAGACCATGAGCAGCCGCCTACAGAGAGTTTAATCAAGGGAAAGTCCCAGGGAAAAAAAGATGCACGTGTGTCGACCACAGTGCCAGATTCTTATTTAAATGTTGGGAAATGCAGTGCATCAATACCACATCAAGAGGTGCACAGCAGCGATGACTGAATCAGAATCAGAATGGGAACAACAACTAAATGTGTTTGCTTCAGTAAAGATAGTAATCTTGTGCCAATCAATATTCTTTCAGCCAAAAATGACTTTTTACTGTAATCCGCCTGGCTGTGGTTGCTCTGATTCACTAAGTTGTTAAGATGACAGTGCACTTTTGTTTCCATGACACAGCAACTGAAGTCCCCGTCCCCAAATTACACTTTGGGAAACGTATGTTTGGGAAATGAAAACCGCAAATTAGCATAGTGTTGTTGTGATCTGCGTGCATAACTACAGCGCAAGGTAAGAGGAGGGGAAGGAGGGAGAAGCAGGGTCTGGTTAAGGATGGATTATAGAGAGCAGTACGTGAGATGGCAGATTGGCGAAAACCTTGTCAGCACATCTGTGTGGCCCTGGCAACTGTGCATTGGACAAAGACAGATCATTGGATCCAGATGTTGGAAAAGCTTTGGTGTGTCTCTGCCACGGCGATTCTATTCAAAGAGCGTTTTTCTATGAATCCGGAACGTGAATATTCAAATCTGTCAGCAAATCATCCGTCTTTCGTAAAGCGAGCTGCTTTTAAATAGCTTGCAGTGAAGATGAATTGTGTCAGGTGATCTTTCTCTCAGCGGTGGTTCGGATTTGATCCATAACAAGCACGCCGACATCAACAGTCATTTACTCTCTTTTGGAATAGCTCTGTATCCAATATCAAAGATTTTTACATTTTTATTTAGCACCTGCAAATCCCAAAGTCGGAAACCAGCAAAACATTTCCTGGCAAAAAGGGATTTGGCATCGCTCTGATCGTCATCAGTCATAAAAAAAGTGCTTTCTCAGAATTTGCGGTTTCCAGTCGCCTGCAGTGTGGCATGCAGAACATCTCCCAAATAACGGATGAATTCGGCAAGAGGACGCTCTCCGAGGAATCGTTTTGATTTACGGCGAGGCTTCAGCCCTTGTTGTGGGCCTGAACAGTTTGAACTTGTGGTCGGAGCTGTCCACCGCTTTGTTGCTTTCCCACTGGCGTCTGTGCACAACGCAATGACTGATGGTTAGGCTTTTTTTGTGAAGGGTCTTTCCCAGAATAAGTCCCACTGTGGTTTTCGGGGTCAATGTGATTTGGAGAGGCCAAGTCCTCCTGGCCTCGCTTGTGCATCTTTTAAGACTGTGTGTCTACGAAGTGCTTCCTCTAGTTAACATACTAATTTGATGGCACTGAAACAAACAGATAAATATGCACACGCGCAAACACAGTCACTGACAGAGCAGGCAGGTGTGTGGGTGACTATGGCATGTAACAGACTTTTAACCCTGGTTTATGTGAATGTGGGAGGCAACCTCATGATGCAAGTGGCCAAGATACTTGGCTCATATTTT